CTCGCAAGGCCCATTGTGAATCCTTCTAAGCAGATAGGCACCTCCTAGCTTGTGAACCAGCCTACAAATTTAATGTAGTTGATAACGTCGCCAAGAGGTGCTTCTCTTATATCAGCCGAACAATCGTAGATCTTCTTGTTTGCTCTCCCTGCAGAGTGCGGATTCTGGCAGCTCCATGATATGGAGATGCTTCCATAATTGGCAATGCCTAGTCAGAATGCCTGTGCTCAGGCGCATATTATGTCCAGTTTGCGATAGTGTTGCCAGGATACATTAAAAGCTCCCTGGTAAGTCTGCAGCTTCTTGTTTCATCCCATCTCTGCTTGAATTTTACAAAGGAATGTTATTTAATTAGGTTTGTTACTACCAGTGTTGTTAGCTTAATCGAAGGGCCAAAAACCCAAAAAATATTTGGTTGGTTGCCCTCTTGTCAAGTTAATCACATTGTGCATGCATCGGCCAAAGCTTTATGACATTCTATTACTAACTTTAAGTTAATTTGTGTTCTGTATGAAGTGGATAGTACTTGCCTTCTATCTGTATAGATGATCATGTTCTTCAAATGATATTATTTTTTGTGATTTTTTGCTGCTATAAGAATCCCCGAAAGCTAGGTTTGAACTACACTAGCAGTACTTCTCACAGCATTTTATATTAAGATTAAAGGATCTGGAATATATTCCACATCCTTAGCCCTGTTTTGTTTTAGAACCATCGGTGTAGATACCTGCCACTTTCAGTTCTTTTAGTTGTTTTGTTACAACTTTTTATGGCAGAAAACTGCGGCATCTTAGATCGATTATATTTCACTGCTTTTCTCATATTTAGGTACTATACTTGCTTAGTCTTGTCTCTTTGGATGGTTTAACAAGGTTTCCTACCAAGTGTTCGTGAAGTGTGTTTCCGGATCTGAGTCATCACCCAGCAAGAGCTTCATATTCGAAGATTATATGAAGATTTTTTAGCTAGCGGTGTCGTTAGTAATCCCACAATGTTAGATATCTGGGGCCTTCCGAGCTGTATTAATTCAGCAACCAAGCATAGATTTGATCCTCTTAGCAAAAGCTTACTGATTATGTGACCTCTTATGTGTTGCTAGTTAGTTTGGAATATAAAGGTTTTACTTATTCCAAATACATGTGCGGGTCCTATAAATGGTAGTTCTAATCCTCCTCTGGCAAGTTCACCGGCCGTTTTATTCCTTTGGATACTTCTATATCCTTGTACCCACGCTTGTTTAAGCTCTTTTGCAAGACAGTCCCCTACAAGGCCATACTTGCTATTAAAAATACAGGAATTTGCTGCCGAGCTTCAAAGGGTTAAATGTCTGAGTCTGGGTATGAATTTTATATGACAATTCCTCCCTTACCAAGAAAAAAAAAAACAAACACATCTTTTGTGTTTCCATGAGATAAAAATATTGCTAGTACACACTATAAATATAAACAGTATAGGCCTAGGAGGACCTATTTCTTTTTATAACTTTTCCTTTACAGCTTTTCTTTCCCAGTTAGTAGCATTTATTCTTTAAATGTTATCTGCAACCTCATTTTTCCATGTCTTCTGCTGGTCCTTTTCGTTTTTCTTAGTTTGCTACCCAGTATTTTTCATTAAATCCTATCCCTTTTCTAAATATGTCCCATTCATTGTATTATTTGCACTTTGATCACTCCCGTTGTTATTAGATCATTATTAGAGCCCACTAATCTCGCTATTTGTTTTTCTATTCCAGAGACCATCAATTTTTTTGCCTCCAAATATTTTAGGTACGTTTCTTTTCTATATTTTTTGTCTTAATATTCAAGTATTCCAAGCAGAGTATTTTTTGTATGGTTTCTTAATTAGATCATAGATCTTTTCCGTTTCGTGGACTTAACTTTGGATTTTAAAAAAATGCTGAAACTGGTCAATTTTTATTCTAAAAGGGACACATTTTTACAATACATGTCATGTATCAACATTCTCTCTTCCACTTCTCTAACCCCTTAATTTTAAATAGGGAATATACCATGTGTGGCACATCATTATAGTTTTTAAAAAAAATATTTAATCCAGGAGATAAACCCCAATATAACATGATAAATCGGTGACGAAGAATTTTTAAAATAAAATGTTTAGCATTATTTATTCCAAAATAAAATTTTTGGTTTTCTCAAATTTTCTAGTCATTTAAATTAACAAAAATATGGTAAGGTATGTAATATCTACAGGTAGAAAATATTTACAATGCAAGATCAATTTAAGTAGCCCTCGACTTTCTTAGAAGAGATTACAATTTTTAATCTGCATTCATTTTATTTACAGAAGCAGATACCTTCTTTGGATAAAATTTTACTAGACAATAATGGAGACGAAACTTTACCAAACGTTAAAAGAGACAAATCGTGGAAAATTTTACATGAATTAGACTCCGTTTGGAAGAAGAACGATAGAAAATCTGCGCCCATATTTGTTGGAGAAGGCAATATTTAAGGGAAATTGGAAATTTAAGAAGAGAAGACAAAAATATTTTTTATTTGGATGAAACAAAGATAAATGAAGGATATTTTATAAAAAAAAGGTTTGGCAAGATAAATAGGTTTCAAATGCTCGCCAGGTATTTATAGAAGGTTTGTCTACTGGGTTTAAATTTCTAAACGGTAAAGGTCGCTGTTTAATTATCACTTATATTGGAGATTTGTTGATAGAGGCTTGTTATACTTTATTTCAATTTCTACGAAACACTAACATAAAGAAATAACTGCTGATGTTTTTAGGTATATTTCAGTCAGATGATATATTTAATACCGACCATTTCTGTAATAATTATGGACAATGCCAGCTACCATTTAAGATTAAAGGAACCGTTATTTAACACTAAATGGAAAACGCAAGAACTTTCCGATTGGCTAATAATCAAAGAAATAGTGGCTGAAGAAGTATTAATCAAAACAGAGCTATTGCAGTTATGTAAACAACATTCATCATTCACATTTAAGAAGTACAGTGTAGATGGAGTTGAAGTGTTGCGGCGAACTTAACCCCATTGAACTAATATGGGCTCAAATAAAGGGAAATGTCGCCAGAAACAATAATACCAAATTTAAACTTTAAGATATTCGTCAACTATTGTGTGACTATATATCAAAAATTTCACCGGACAATTGACAAAACGCTATAAAACATAGCAGAGGAAGAGAAATTCTGGAAACTTGTTATGTTAACATATTATCCTCTATAGAGGACACAATAGAACCAATTATTATTCCTGTGAGAAGTGATTAAACTGATTATAATCACTCCTTATCAGGAGGAACCGACTTATTTATTTAGGTATGTAACTCTATATTTATAACAATTATAATAAGTTTATATGACGCTAGTACCCGAAATACAAACAAACATATTTATATGGAATCCGTATTCTTAAAAACGAAATATGAGTGTTTTATGAGAAAATATTTTCTTTGTAAAGATTTTTTTGATATATCATATAAATAAGATTGTGTGTATATTTATTATTAAATTTTAAGTAAATGTCCTTACCTAATATCTAGTATACTATTTTCATAAAAATAAATATGTGTACTTAATATTGACAGTTTACTATTTTTTATATTAAAGTAATTTCGTGTTCTCCGTCACTGAAGTATAGAATTATTTGTTAATCCCTTAGGTTTGCCTATTTACATTTTATGATGTCTTGTGTTCGAGGTTTTTCTGGATGGTCATACTAAAATCTAGTAAATATTTAGATAAGATATTTACTTTTTTTCTACTTTGAACAATCCTGTATATAGACCTTTGCCATAAAAACTGTGCTTTCATGCATTTTCAAATAAACTATAGCCATGACTGGTCATGTTGGTCGGTTTTCTTTTTCGATAGACGTTTTCAACCTGTCTGACCGTTCACTTAACTCACCCTATAAAACAGAATAACCAGTTCCGTGGGAATAAATAGAAAACAACGAACAGTAAATTAAGCCAAAAAGAAACTATGCCAAGGCTAAATTGTTTCTATATCTACATCTGCGCTAAAGCTGTCAAGCAGGTTATCAATTAAAAATTGGTGTATTCCCGCTGTGAATTAGCAATGTTGTTCTATTTGTTTTCCTCGAGGCTCTGATTGATTATTTGAGATTTTTTACGGTCACACCCCAGAAAGGAGCTGTGGCCGAGCCGTCTTTACAATCGCTTTACGACGGTCGGTTTTGCCAGTAATAAAAACATCATTCTGATTTATTAACGAGGCCTGGTTGCCCCTTATTGCGTTTATGGTCCCATTTTTGCTTTTGTGGTTCTGCGCCTCGTTTTACAAGCTCCGCTCTACTACTACGTTCGGCGTTGTGAGAAATGAATCTCAAACTTCCGTAATTACGAAGGAGTTATTGCTCATTATGATGTTATTTGCCCCGCATTAGCATAAAGGAAAAAATAAGCGTAAAAGTTTAATTAAATATACTTTTGAGTTGGGGTTGTTTATGAAATAAAAATAAAAAAAAGTTGGAATGAACGTGTTCTACGACTCATTGTTATCACAAACCATTAAGGAAGTTTAGAGCGGGAACATATTTTATGATGCTGAAATGAAAATATCGTGAGATATTTCTTTTTCTGATATGTCAAATGTCAAACAGGACTACTAATTTTTTTATGTCATTAATTATAACGTGGTATAATTTTAAGAACATTTAAATAATATAAATACTATTAAAATATTGTATATAAATACCACAATTGAACCCGTTATTTCGAAAAGGGCCCGAGTCCGTTAACTAAAACTTTTCAGGGGCACTAAAAATATGTGTCAAGTGAAAAAAGTCTGTGGTGCTAAAAAAATAAACATAGAAGGCGATAAATAAAGGACATATATAATTTTTGTGACATTTATATAATAAAAAAAAATATTAATCATACAGATATTTGAAATAATATAATTTGGACTTTGAATTTTCAAAATGACTTTTTAGGTGCATAGTCCAATCCAAAGATTTTCAGAAGAAGGGATAGTTATCATCATTATTTTCTTGTTGTTGGCCATGCAAAAACCTCTGTATATAAATCTTGGTACTCTGCTGGAATATATTTTGCTAATTTGTTCAAATTTGTCATTTTCTTTTCATTAATTAGCACTTTACCAGCATATGCAGGAGTATCACTTGTTGGTAAGGGTGGCCTGGTACCCATCCTCTGTAAGAGCTGGAAATCATTACTGATAAAACAATCTATGGAACCACGTGTTGTTACAAGACCTGGTGTGGACTTAGAAAAAGTGAAATGTGACCATTTGGAAATAGCAAAGGTTGTTTTTTGGTCCCTGGGTACTCCTTTTCCATAGGAATCCACAGACAGCACCACTTTCTTATAATGTTTCGGCCACCATTTTTTTATGTCTATAATATCTTTAGTTTTCGGCCTTTGTATTTCAAATTTTTCATTAACTTCAACTATAAGATTTTCATACTCGGCTGGAGTGTAAATCCTGTCATTTTTTCGAATATGTCTCTTTGCTGTCCCAAACATTCTCTCGTTTGGCAGAATGAATCACCTCTTTTGGGTATGTAATATTCTGTCTTCTTAATATTGTTATTTTGTTCACCTGCCAGTGATAAAAGGATACGAACCACGGCAAGATTACGATTTTGACCTGCACAGCCATCTGAAAATAGGTGAAACTCTTCGGCATCATTGCCAATATTATTTTTAATGTAATCCAGTACAAAAGTACCCACTTCATTGGGACCTTTGTAAGCAACTCCTTCACAATAAGAATAAAAGAATGATTTTCCAGTTTTCATGTCATAAATGCAAAACTCATATAACCATATTTGACGTAGATAAAAAACTTTCTGCACTGGAATATGTAGAAGTGGTAAATTTTGCATATAATCAAATGCAATCTCATACACCTTTGGATCATTCTTGCACTTAGTTTCCACCTTCTGAGTTTTTTTGTAAAATTTATTTGTTTGTCTTTTTGCTCAATATCTGATAGACTCTTTTTGCGTTATCATTTAAATGTGGATGTTTTTAGTTTAATCTTTAAGTCTTCACACAGTGCTGAACAGATATCAATTTGCTTTCTACCAAATGATAAGCTAAACTTTTCCTGCATATATTTTAAGTAAAATTTATATTTGACTAGATGATCTGGATATTTTTGTTTGTACAATGCATGCAAAGTTTTCACATTGAGTTTTCATCTAAGTAATTGGCTGATGCATCTTTATTATAGTAGTGCACACATTTGACAGGAAATGACTCAATATGCTCCCGGATTTTAGATAATGTATCACCAGATATTGCATTGCTCCGTGATCCCTGTGATTTTCCTCTGTGATCTATAGGTTGCTCGTTTGTTTTTAATAAAATACATAAACGTCTAACTTGTTTCTCAGAAATTCCATGGATGCTGGAAAATGCTTTTTTGCACACTTTTAATTTAGCACCTTCTATCTTAATGTGATATTTGAAAGTAAATTGTCTATTCTTAGGTACTTTATATCTGGGACGTTTACTATGTATTTCCTGCTTTTTAATCAATGCCTACAAATATGTGTCTTGGGCATTTTTGCTATCAAAATTGTTAATAAAACGGATACTACTTTGGACATTATCTTCTGAGATAGTCTCCATACATTTTAACTTACATCTGTAAATAAAACGAACAATAAATATCATCTCTAGCTAATATTTGGTAAAATATATTAGGAAAACAAAACTAACCTGCAATAAGCTCCTGTTTTTCTTGGTGCCACATCTCTCCCCTTATGGTTTTTATGAGCTTTTCCAGCAATTTTGGCTTTTTTTATTTTGTTATGCTTATAGTTTTTTCTTGATTTATAAGCAGTATCAGCAAGCTCGCGATTCTCCATTTTCGTAACTGATAAAGTGAGGTTATCATATCTGACAGCTGCCTTCCGTGTTACTTGAAAGGGGCATAAGTCCTGGACTCGTGCCGTTTTCATACAGACTTTAATTTCTGACTGCTTTATAAGCTGCCTTGTGGTATATGAAGATGTGCCGTTTTCGCAGAAAATATCATCTTAAATACTTCAAAGAATCAAATGGCGTCAAAAAGTGATATTTTAAAAATGTGCCTTGTGCCCTTTTCAATTCTTAGGCATGTTTTCATTTTGTTAATTGAAAATCTATATTTTATTTATGTATATAGTGATATGCACTAAATAGGCCAGTCATAAAATATAATCAATTCGCATTATTACAAAAATTTTCAAAAACTTTGTAGGAATATTTATTAAATCAAAATAATTATAAATTCAACTTTGCAACTTTTTCTGAGGTCCGAAACATAATAATTGCAAAAAAATAATATTTATTATAACTTTCTACAAAAAAATTGCAAAACTGCTGCAAACTTAAAGCAACATATCGATGGCTCAATCAAATACTGCCACAACTAAAATACTATTGTTTCGAGAAATTTCATTTTGAAATTGTGTAAGTCTCTATTATCATTATTTTGTTTTTGACATAAAATCTTTCTACTTTATTTAAGAGCTTCGATATTTTGCTGTTAAAATTAACGATTACGATTATAAAAGCGAGTTATTGCATAGTTTGTAAAAAATTTTAGTGTTTCTGTAGAAAATAACTCGAATTGAGGCAGTTTGTGACTACATATTAAATGATTTTCGGGCATTTTTAAGGAGATTTTTGTTTGTGGCGGTATTTAAAGTAAAACCTTGATGATATTTTGCATCCATTGAACCAAAAATTTTATTTTCTATATCTTTGACTTGTGGCGGGTTTTTAATTGAGTATTATTTTCAACATTATATACCAGATATGCAAATTTTTTCAAGTCCGCAACATGATTTTCTTTTGTAAAATAGCAGTTTTATTTATAAATATAGAAAAAAAAATTGTAATAATGTTGCAAACAGATAAAATAACTCATAAAAGTTTTTGGAACAGCATTTCGTAAATTCGCCGATGGAAAATATTACAGATACTTCTAAATCTAAACTTTAAAGTTCATTACTTTACCTATGTATACAGGGTGTCTGTAAAAGGTCTTTACTAAAACATACCACATATTCCTTGGACCAAAATAAGTCGATTTAAGTAAAATTACCTTAGTACAAAGTTGCTTCGTTTGGGCTCCAGAGGGCATTGAAGTTACAATTTTTAAATGGTTTTTCCCATATAATTTTAAAACGGTATATGCGATTTTGCTGAAATTTGGTATATTGGTAGAGTTTTATGTGGTTAAAAAAATGGTATTAAAATTTTGTCCGTTAATAATACATAGGCGTAGAACTTGATTTTTTAAATAATTGCACCTTTAAAAATTCTACGCCAATGGAAGAAAAGGAGTTTGAGTATGAAATTTAGATTGCGCCACTCATTTACTTTAAAAATGGTACTCTTGATAAGACTCGATTACTGTCATGGTTTTCGCTAAATTTAGTTTTAATAATTTAGAGTGTATAGGTTTCACAAAAATATTTATTTACAACATAATCAAAATAGAGATTTTACAAAAATTGTTCAAAATGTTCACAATTTTCACGCATACAAAGATTTGTACGTCGAAGAAAATTAAAATGTATCCTTTCCATAACTTCTTCATCACCTCTAAGATTGTTTATTGCATCTTGAATACGTTTCCAGAGTTGTTCCTCATTTTCTACAGGTTTCCTGTAAACTGTGGATTCCAGATGTCCCCATAAAAAGTAATCCATCGATGTTAGGTCTGGGGAACGTGGTGACCAGTTTACAGGTGCGTCATTACCTCTGCCTATCCATTTGTGTGGATATTGTTCATTCAAGTGGTTTCTAACGTTTAAAGAAAAATGTGGTGGAGCTCCATCTTGCATAAACCACATATCTTTTCGAAGTTGGAGAGGTAAATCTTCTAACAATTCTGGTAACGTATTTTGTAGAAAATCCAAATAATTTTTTCCAGTTAATCTTCGTGTAAGTATGACAGGACCAATAATGAAATTACCAATTATTCCAGCACACACATTAATTTTGAATTCGTGCTGAAAATGGTTTACCCTAATTGCATGCGGATTTTTAACGGCATAAACATGTTCATTATGGGTATTAGTTATACCTCTTCTTGTAAAACCTGCTTCATTGGTAAAGAGAACCTTCTTGACAAAGTTTGGATCTCTTTCTCTTTGCATAATAACAAATCGACAAACAAACGAATTTGAGGATCATGGACCAATAATTCTTGAACTGGCTTCTTATGGCATGGATATAGCAATTGTTATCTAAGCACTTTATGAACGACATCTTTACTTACTCCTAGTTCCCTTCCAATTCGTCTGGTGTTTAATTCTGGATCTTCTTCAACACGTTCTAAAATGTCTTCTTTAACTTCAGGAATCCTTACAAAACGTTCTCTTCCATTATCAACAGTTGGGAGCAAAGGAACCGGTCTCCCGAAGGCGTCTCTCAACAGCAGCAAAAGTTGGGTGACTAGGTACACGACGATTTGGAAACCTTTCAGAGTACACTCTGACAATCTCTCGAGCATTTCCTTCACAAAATCCTAATGTCAGTAACATATCGGTATATTCTGCATTGGTATATTGTACAGCCATATTAATAAACCACGCATTTGTTTTTTTAATTATTGAGTCAGATAGAACACTTTCAATCGTTAACAAGAAAGTAGGTGGTAAAACAATATTTTTATTTAGATGAAACCAACAATAAATGTTTTTGTATACGTATGCAGGCAAATAATTAATATTCCTCAAAAAATCGTACATGGCAAGAATCGAGTATTTTTGTTAAAAGTCTCGATTAGACGTGTTGAAGAAGATATGTAAAAAGTACATTTTTATGTTTTTCATCGTATAAAATTTTGTCCGATAATAATACATTGGCGTAGAACTTGATTTTTTAAATAATTGCACCTTTAAAAATTCTACGCCAATGACAAAAAAGGGGTTTGAGTATGAAATTTGGATTGGGTACTCATTTACTACAAAAAATTACCCTTGATAACACTCGATTTACTCTCATGGTTTTGACAAAGTTTGTATTTTAATAATTATTGTTTATGTTCTAAAATTACTAAAATGCAAATTTCGTCAAAACCATGAGGAGTAATCGAGCCTTATGAGGAGTACCTTTTTTAAATTAAATGAGTTGCGCAATCTAAATTTCATACTCAAACTCCTTTTCTTCCATTGGCGTAGAATTTTTAAACGTGCAATTATTTAAAAAATCAAGTTCTACGCTTATGTATTATTATCGAAAAAAATTTTAATACCATTTTTTTGCCATATAAAATTCTACCAATGTACCAAATTTCAGCAAAATCGCATATGCCGTTTTAAATTTATATAGGAAAAACGATTTAAAAATTGTAACTTCAAGGCCCTCTGGAGCCCAAACAAAGCAACTTTGTACTAAGGTAATTTTACTTAAATCGACTTATTTTGGTCTAAGGAATATGTGGTATGTTTTTGTAAAGACCTTTTACAGACACCCTGTATATGTTGCTCTCTCGAAATATTCCTAAAATAGATTTCGTTACTTGTTAAAATATAAAAAAAAGATGAAAACAGGCAAATTTTAATTTTATGGGACTGATTCTTAAGAACTTTAATAAATTATTCTTTCAATGTACCTAATTGTTTTTTTTTTGTAAATATAAAGCAAGTCTAATCTGTAATATAAAATTTGCTTGCAACTCGAACTATAATCTTATTCATTCAATTTTGTACATACCTGCATCATGTCTTCTTCCTTGGTAAGGTCCCACGAGCACTAGCACCTATTTATTCTATCAGGACATAATATGGACTGGTATTTCACACAATGCTGTCTTTTATGACCAGAAAAATAATTTTGCTGATCAGTGGTTGGACGGCATATTCTCGTCGCAGTGCCATCTATAAAACCTAGCAGTTTTGTAAAGGTGCTCCTTTTTCGGCTACAGCCTGTACAAAATACATATATGTTTAATACTTCCCTTGTTTGTAGTTTGTCAATTGTACAATCACCTGATTGTATTACTAAATACTTACAGTGGCATAATATTTCAACTTAATTCGGTTCAGCCAAGTCAAATTTCTTAAATTTGTTAATAAATGCCCTTTGTTGGTATGTATAATTTTAATAACTGTATTTGATATTATTGACAGATATTCTGCAGTCAAACCAAATAATGGTTCCAACTCAACCAAACTATTAGGGTATGCAAGCCTCCTTAATAAAATGCATAAAGCCTCTAATCCTAAAATTATTTTAAATTTTAATAAAAAAATATATATTTTTAAACAATGAACTTAAAAAAATAGACATTATCAAATAAAGAGACATGAACATGTTTTGGAAAACTTTCTATTAAAAATATATGTTCCTTAAACTATTAAAAATTATGGATATTTGGAATTTAATGAAAATTTACATTATCTGATTTTCATCAAAGTATAAACTTGTACCTGTAACATTATACCTAACATCTGGTAGTGAAACTTGAGGTGGATTGCCTAAACAAGCAGAGAGCCTGAGCAAATCTTCTTTTTGAAAACGAAAATATGATTTACATTCTTCTACTGTTAAATCATCCAAATTAAACCTATCGTATTTTGTAGATCTTACAAACGATTTACCACGCTGCTTTAACACAATAACCTCAAGACCCTCTTCAATGTCTTGATCATTAAGTTCACCTAGAACTGCAGCTTCCAAAAAATCATCCATAACTTAAAAATAGGCCTCCTATCGAGGCCCACTAAGATAAACGAAGATAAAATATCAAACACTGAGATTATTTCACTTTTAAAACAGTCGGTCTATATGTATTTCTGTTATGCTACTTATCCTAGGTTTCGTTATCTTACTTTAATTTTAGAGAAATCAATGTAATATATTATATACT